CACCAAAAACTTCTATGTGATGTACAATTCTCTGGTTCTGTTCCTGTTCTAGTTGTTGGCTTAGATCTTCATCCAGGGGACAAGCCCAACTTAGAGCAGTCAATTCAGTGCCAGCGGGGCAGATTTTACTTCTAGTCGATGAGAACTCTCAATTCTGTCCACCACGGAAGTTACATGTCCCCCTCAGTGATGTCCCTGGTCATCTCTCAGATAAGATCCCTCTGTAACCAAATTAAAGCAGCAGCACCTATCCAAGTTTCCTGTCAATCATTCCTGGGAACCAGTAGGTGGTCAGTCAGCACAACACAACTGTCTTCATGCTGTTAAAGGGGGTAGGAGTTGCAGGGTTAAGGTGGTCACACCGAGTTAAAGTATTATTAGGTGCAAGTATTATTAGGAGGAGGACACTTCCTAAGAAGCCCAGGGACGGACAGAGACGTGTTGAGTGGGCTGAGAGGTCAGTGAAGAGTCAGCAGAATGAGGAACACAGTTAGACGAGCGCCCCGAACTACCTCTTTTTCCTGTTCATGTGGCTAAGCGGTAACAGATGTTACCTCACCTAACACTTGGTAGAGTGTAGGAGGCGGGCTCAGGGCAGAGTTTGGGGTCCCCAGCCTGCATACTCAGACAACTCCTCAGTTCTCACTCCCATTGGGTACTCAAACTTGAAAGCAGCCAATCAGCATCCGTGCTTTCAGATACACTATTCTCATCAGTAACAACTTGTCAGTCTTCCAGACCTAGAAGATATGTGTCATGGGCCCCCGACCCCTGCTCCTGTTGCTCTCGGGGGCCCTGGCCCTGACCGAGACCAGGGCTGGTGAGTGCGGGGTCGGGAGGGAACGGCCTCTGCGGGGCAGGGGCGTGGGGACTCTGCAGGGGCGCAGGACCCCTGGCCCAACCCCAGACGCCCTGCGCCCGCCTCGGCCCCTGGCCTCCCCTTTCTCCTGCCCGCTGCGCTCAACTACTGCCCCCTATTCCGTCCTCCCGCACCCCTGCCCCTGTCGGCCGGCGCCCAGACCCGCACAGCCTGAGCTACTTGCACACCACCGTGTACCGACCAGGCCGTGGAGACTACCGGTACACCGTGGCCGGCTACGTGGACGACACGGAGATCATGCGGTTCCACAGCGACCCCGCGAGTGCCAGGCTGGAGCCCCGGGTGGCGTGGATCAAGCGGCCGTGGGTGGAGCAGGAGGGCGCAGGGTTTTGGCAGGAGCAGACGCTGGAAATCAAGCACAACGAACAGCGGAGCAGAGCGAACCTGAACAAGCTGCGCGCCCACTACAACCAGAGCGCGCACGGTGAGCCCCGCGCGCCGGGTCCGGGCACCACCCCCAACCCCACGGGCGGGCCGGGCTTGCCCCGAGTTCGCGGGTCCGAGCGTCACCCCGAAACTGTGGGACCCGCTGGTGTCCCAACCACGGAACAGCCCGCGAGTATTTTTACTTGGATTCATTTCAGTTTAGGGTTAGCCAGCAGGGCGGTGGGGCGGGCGGGACTGTCCTACCTGCCTGGTTAAGTGGCCTGTTCTGACTTCAGGACGGGGGTCAGGGTCGCCCACTTGGCAGGAAATGACCGGCTGCGTCCTGGGGCCAGACGGACGCTTCCTCCGCGGGTTCAGTCAGTTCGCCTACGACGGCGCCGACTTCCTCGCCCTGAACCAGGGCCTAGGATCCTGGACCGCAGCCTCCGGGGTCAGCTGGAGCGACATTGTGCGGGTCCCTGACGCGGAGGTTCAGAGGTTCTTCCTGGAGGACATGTGTGTGCACCGACTCCAGCTGCTCCTGGAGAAGGGGAAGGACACGCTGCAAAGAGCAGGTACCAGGGCGCGGGCCTCACCAAGGAGGGAATCTGTGGGCTGGGGCGGTTCCTACAGGGAGAGGAGGGCAATGGGGCAGTGTCAGAATGTCCCTCCTGCTCGGGACAGGGAAGAGACCCCCAGGTCTTATTCTGTGACTCACCCGTGGGCCCAGCTTCCTCTAAAGGACAGTAAGGGACCCAGCCTCTCCAAAAACACCTCACAGTGGCTCCCTCACACCCTGCAGCACCTGGGGCACCAGGACCCTCTCTCTCCCTGGTTCTGGGGCTGAGACCCTTTCTGGAGGCCTGACTCCCACTTTTCTGAGTCATCAGCCTCCACCTGAGTCTGTGTCTCCCCTTAGACACCTGGACACTCCTACCCTAGGTTTTCACCCTGATTCTAGAACTTTCCAGGACATAGGTTATCTCAGGTGCCTATGCCCAGGCTGGTGACTGGGTGGTGCTCCCCTTCCCATAACCCCGCTTCCTGTCCACTCTCAGGGTGGTCATATGAGCACTGCTGCAGTGTCCCATCACCATGCAAAGTCCCTGAATTTTCTCACTCTCCCCTCAGACCCTCCAAAGACACACGTGACCCACCACCCCATCTCTGACCAGGAGGTCACCCTGAAGTGCTGGGCCCTGGGCTTCTACCCTGCGGACATCACCCTGACCTGGCAGCATGAAGGGGAGGACCTGACCCAGGACATGGAGCTTGTGGAGACCAGGCCTGCAGGGGACGGGACCTTCCAGAAGTGGGCAGCTGTGGTCGTGCCCCCTGGAGAGGAGCAGAGATACACGTGCCATGTGCAGCACCAGGGGCTGCCTGAGCCCCTGACCCTGAGATGGGGTGAGGAGGGGGTGTGGGCATGGAGCCTTTCCTCAGGGTGTCCCTGAGCAGGGGCAGGAGTCAGGCCTCAGGTTGGCCTCTCACCTTCCCCTCTCAGACCCCCCTCCTCAGACCACCATCACCATCGTGGGCATTGCTGCTGCCCTGAGTCTCCTTGGAGCTGTGGCTGCTGGAGCTGTGATGTGGAGAAGGAAGTGCTCAGGTGGGCAAAGGGTGGGGCTGAGTTCCCTGTCCCCCTGGGGGTTAAGCCCAGGTGGAAGTGTGCTCTGCCTGGTTAATGGTCATGGTGTTCCCACACGGGTGCTTATCCATCTGGGGCCTATTTCCTAACACTGACTCTTTAGTGAGGCCTGTGGGAAAGTGAGGGACACATTTATCACCTGATGATTCTAGCAATGGGGACTGATTCCCAGGTATCACAGGTCAGAAGGAGAGGTCCTTGCTAAGGATGGACGTCCACACAGGCAGTTGGTCCAGTCCTGGAACACGTACTTTCCCTGTGTTTCCTGATCCCACCCTGGGTGTTCAGTCCCAGTTCTGGAAACGTCCCTGTGCTTCAGGAGTGTGGGGCTCCTTTAGGGTCACGGGACCCAGCCTCCCCCCTGACTTCTCACAGAACCTGTTCTTCCCACAGGTATAGACAGGACAATCTACTCTCAGGCTGACTGTAAGTCTGGGTGTTGGGAGGTGACATCTGGGACCCTTGGGAGAGTGTGGGCTGGAGTCTGTGAGAGGGGCTCCCCCACACCCTGTAACTCTGCTGTTGTGTCTTCTGCAGGCAGTGACAGTGCCCAGGGCTCTGATGTGTCTCTCACAGCTCCTGATGGTGAGACCCTGAGGGCAGGAAGTGGGGGCATTATGACCGAGGGGCACAACTGGGTTTTGGGGATTCTCAGAGTGGGACATTGTGAGTATGTTATGGGCTGTGGGAGAATGTGACACTTCTGAGACTGACCTGAATTTGTTCACAATAAATTTCTTCCAGTGTGACAGAGCTGCTTTCTCCAGGACTTGGTGCTGAAATTGTCAGTGTAGCCTCCTCTCTGAGATTATGAATTCCTGACTGCTGTATGTATATTAATTTAATATATATATATAATTTAATATATATATATATATAATTTAATATATGTAAACATAAGTGATGGACATTAAAATCTCCAAGGTGTATGGTTTCTGGTAGGTGTTATTCAATATACACCTTCACCCCATTTATTAACCCACTTAAGTTACTTTAAATTCATAAACTTACCATCGGGTCTGGAAACAACCCAGGTGGGAGAGACTTTGTGTCACATGACAAGGGGACCTCAGGGCTCCACAGTTATGTTCCCTGTGACCACCTGTGCTCTGCATGCAATTAAGAGTTTCTTCCCACACATCCAAATGTGACCTTTTAGAGCCTCTGCTTGTGGCTGGTTCAGTCCCCAGATTCTCATCTAGTGACGCTTTGCTGCCTAGTAGTCTCCCCAAGCTTCCAGGGCCCCCTCTTGTAGACCTCAGGATTGTCCCTGTGGAGTCAGAGAGCTGACCAATCAGAAGGTGAGAACACCTGCTTAAAGCAGAAACTGTCCCTGCATCCACTGTCCTTAATCCACTGCAGACACTGCTCTCATTCTGTGGACGCTGAGTTTGAGCACTGGAAGGTCATGGCCAAGGGAACCCATGCCCTTAGTGGCTTCCTCTGAGAGTTCCTCCCCAAGAGACAGCCCTCGGGCCACAGGGTCAGTCTGGCTCCTGAGCTGAGAACAGACTCAGGAGACAAGGGACCAGCCAGGCAGGAGGGAAAGGTGTGGGGAAGCTCCCAGGGTTCCAGGGTGCAGGTGCTGGGTGTTCTGATGGGGCTGTGAGTGGTGGAAACAGTGGGAAGGAATTGGACACTGAATGCATTTGGAAGATGGATTTCACAGCATTTCCTAGTGATTCGATCTGGGTTGTGGGAATGAGTCCAGGAGAGCACCCCACATTTGTGCTGTGCCAACAGAAAGATGGGGTTATATCAGCAGAGATGGGGAAGATGCTGGCAGGAGTATGTGTGGGGGAGGGGTGGGCATTTCAAGCTTTCAGCTGAAGAGAAGGTCAAGGTGAGATGAGTGTTAGAAACACCAGTGAGGAGTCAGGTTGGACAGATGAGTGTGGGGACCTTGAGGAGACACGTCTGGGCTGGAGACATAGGTGTGGAGGTGATGCTTCAAAAATGACATTTAAAGTCATGAACATAGATGAGGCCACCAAAGGGAGCCAGGACTGAGGAAGAGGAAGGAACAAGGACCGGACACTACACTCACCTGTCCCAACAGTGGGGACGTTCATCCTGGTGACTCATCAGGTTGGTGACAGTTAGGTCTCCTCGTGATACAGTCACCATTTGGTGTTTGTTGCCACGTCCACTGCCGCGTCCACTGTTGGATCCCTCTCTCCGTGACAAGGTCCTGAGAGGGGGTGTAAGACTTCAAGGAAGCAGTTTCCAACCTGGTGGATGTGGCATGGAAGGCCTTGCAATACCTATTGTGATTGTGCTTGCTTTAGAGATCATGACCTTTTTGCTTTAATCATTATGAATACCCTGGCAGTGATTCAGATAGTGTGCCTGGACCTTTCCCGGCTCAATAAACAGAATAATATCATACTAGAACGTCAGGGAATATAGGCACAAGGAAACAATCAGAACAATCTGAGAATTCAAGCTTAATCAATAACAATCATTAGAAAAACACCCAAGATAAGATAGAATACTCTAGGAAATCAGGAGATGATCTCACTACTTTCTTGGAAGGAATTAAAGTACAAAACATGTTTATAAAAAGAACTCCTAGAGAAACTTAAAAGAAGTACCCTTGAAAGCCCCCTGCTACATAGGAACAGCCCCTCCTTTACCTTGAATAGGAATATATATCAACTAGACAGGCAAAGTAATAAGAAAAGCTAGTTAGTTATTACAAACTGAATAGTCACTAGGGAGTCAGAATTTATGGTACACTGAAAAAACATTTTAAGCAAAAAAAAGGTAGATAGCTAAGTTAGACATCACGAGGGCCTCATAATAAATCACCTATTTTCTCTACTCAGTCTAGCGTATCCTTATGCCCTATACCAAATTCTGAGAAACTTTAATATACAATAAGATATTTTTGACTGTCTGATTAATGGCTCTCCTAGTTAAAATAATTTTTAACTAAATCTATGGGAACTTTTGTACTTTTACTGATTGCCTTTGTATTGATTTTTTCTGCTTAAATGATCATGTTATACTGCAAATATTAATCACTACCTGAAATGAAAATTATAAAAACCTGCTTGTACTTTCAATAAACAGAACAGAGCTTCACTGTCCTTTGAGGCGTGTTGTCGTCTGTTACCCAGCGCCGGCGCCTTGCCCTCATCTGTGGGACCCCTGACCCGCTGCGGCTGGACGGCGGCAGTTTGTCATTCATCAGTAATTTACAGGGAAGTGTTCTGAGATTGTCCTGCTGTGCCCTTCACCACTTGTACACTCACCCTCCTTGGTTTCTCTATTAACTTCCACCCAAGTCAGCGAAAATATGATGTTTGTTCTGTACCTGCCCTGAGTATTTTTTACTAGGATATACAGTACAGTACAGGGAAGACAGTCAGTAACATCATTGTGAATATTTATGGTGTCAGATGGGTCCTAGATTCATCAGGGAGATTATTCAATAAACTATGCAAATATGTAATTACTGCACTTTCCTGCTGAAACTGGTATAATGTTATATGTCAACTGTAATTGAAAAGCAAAAAATATTCAAAGTTTAAAAAGTTATAACTTGGACTTCATGCCCAATATTCTGAGAGCAGTTTTGAGGAGAAAGCTGAGTATTTTGTGACGAGCCCACAAGCCATCCTGGTCCCCAGTAGATTTGGATGCACACAGTTCTGTAATGCAGTAGAACCCGGGTTGGGGAAAGGCCTTGAAGCCACATTTCAATGTCCTTCCCACCCTTGGGAAGGAAAAGTAGTTCATTATTTGTCATATGAGGTTGGAAGGCACATGCCGTTTTCTCTACCATGGAGTAAAGTCAAAAGGAAGATTTAGAAAGTGGCTCTCAGTTCCACATACCGAAAATCTCCAAATGCTCGCTCTCTGCAATTAACTCTCTGACTGATTTCTTGTAGGAAAGAATGAAATCCAAAAATTTTTACTTTAAGCATAAAAGGATTTTATGTGGGATATTGGGAGCTCATTTTATTTCAAGAAAAGCCACAGAACAGACCTGAGGCCGTGAGCAGAGAGAACCGTGGGACTAGACCCCACAGGAAGACCAGCCTGGGTCACAGGCTGACACAGGATGACAGCGTGAGGGACTTGGGGACAAGCTCTGACAAGAGAAGGAGCTGAAGGAAAAGGTCTAGCCGGAAACACTGTGACAGGAACTGCCAGCACAGATGTCTCTGCACCCCTGTGACGATGAGACTCTAAGTCAGCTGCACCCAAGGAACAAGGGACACTTTCTCTGTCTCCTGCCCAATGTGCCTGAGGGCGTCTCAGTCATTGCCATCTCTGTCTGCGGTCATCAGACCTGCCTGAGGCTGCCATCTTGTGGTCACGTCCTGTGTCAGGTTCATTGTCCTTGCAGTCTGTCCCCAGAGTCTCCATGGTGCTTCACCTGCACAGACACCACCAGAGGCTGCAGCACATTCACACCCTGCAGCAGCCACCAATGCCCTCCAGTGACCAGAGCCACCCACACCATCCTCATGCTGGTGGACACCTGTGTCACCTCCTACCTACTCAATTTCATTCTCACTTTTTACATCTTCGAGTGGGTGTGACCTCATCTCTGGTGGGTGCAGACCTCCCCTGGTTGGCTTCCTGTTCTCTTGCTCTTCACCCCTCACTGTGGATACTCAGGGATCGTAGAGCTCCTGGGGTCACGGACTGTTGGAAGTGACTCTTGACAATCTAATCTGTGGATGTCACTGTTTATAATATTTTTTATTACAGTGTTTAGTGGTCCTTCACTGAGTGACAATGTTGTACATAATATCACTATGAACTTTATTTTTAAATTAAAATATAACTGACACACAACCTCGTGTAAGTGGAAGGTGTCCGGCATGTTTATTTGATGCCCTTACATCACTCATTCACCGCCTAACAGTGGTGATCCACCCTGAGACACACGTGGGAGTGTAATGTTGTGGCTGTGGGAACAGCACAGAGGCTCTCACACGTGGACGGTCTCGCTACTGCTCACCCAGACAGCAGGGCTCAGCCTGTGCTCCTGGGCTGCAAGTCTGCACAGCACATTGTTGTACAAAACACATGAGATTAAATCCACACAGCAGAAAATGAAACTGTGAAGGAGACCAGCTAAACAGCAAGTGCAGGAGGTCACTGAGCTCGACAGAGCAAACTGTTCCATTGCAGTGGTTTTTGTTTTCAACCTCACCCTGAGGATGTGGTTATTGATCTGAGAGTGGGAGAGACTAAGAGAGAGAGAGACGGGGTCAGTGATCTTAAGAGACTAAGAGAGAGAGAGACCGGGGTCAGTGATCTTAACTTAGTTTGCTGAAAACACTTATTAGCATTATACTGGGCTTTGTTGACACGTATAAAAGGGAAGGCAGATGGGGAGGAAAGTCAAGGGCTCAGCCCAGGGCTGACAGTGCTGGGCTCCACGTCTGGGCTCTGGGCAATGAACTTGCACACACTCCCCCACTGCTCACTTAGGGCGCTGCCCTCTGTGGAGGCCAAGCAGGGTCTCTCCCTTCTTCTGGGGTGTGGTCATTTGTATGTCAACACTCTGTTGCTTTTAAGAAGTGACTTTTTTATTACACATGGCATTTTTAGCCTTTTTCAGTCAGAGGATTTGCCCACACCCTCTAACCCCCTCTTGACAGGAATGGCATTTCTAAGGCAGATGGTTGGTCCCAGAGAACAGGGTCAGAACCCGAATCTTAAATTGTGATGTGAGGATGACCTGTCAGGGGTTTCATAAGTGTAAGGGTTTTAATGTAACTTGTTCTTTGAAAACATTATTCATGCACATACAAGAGAATTTAAAAAACTCTCAAGAATATGCAAAATTAAATGAGTCACATTGTCCCCCTGCTTCTTCAGTCACCAAAGTCATCTAAAAGAAGCGGTCACAGTGAGTCGCTTCTGAGTCCTCCTCTCGGGAAAATCCACCTGTGCACTGGTGTTGGCGTTATGTCTGTGAAAATAGCTCAGCTCACAGACTGGGAGAAAATGTTTGCTAATCACTCGTTTTATACTATGCATGAGAATCCTCAAACTCCACCATAAGAAAACAACTCAATAAAAAGTGATCAATATTCTAGAAAAATGCCTCACCAAAGAATATATGGCAGCCTCCGGTTGAGTTGGTTGGAGCATCGTCCCATGTACCAAATGTTGTGGGTTTGACCCCTGGTCAGGGCGCATCTATAGGTTCAGTGTACAATCCCCGGCCTGGGCACCCAGGGCGAAGCAACCTATCCACGTTTTGCTCTCACATCAGTGTTCTGCTCTCTCCCTTCCTCTCTCTCAAAGCAAGAACAATGAAATGTCATGGGGTAATGAAAACAAAGAAGAAAAAAAGGAAAGGAGATGTTTCTTTAAGGGAGTGGCACCAAAAGTTGCCACTCTCTTAGGGGCAAAAGTTGGGATTAGTTTCCCATGGGTTGTACATGTAAGTTCTTTGAATTCTCTGTGTCCTGTACCATTCTTAACCTCTCCCCCATCTATTTAATGCCTATCAATTATGCTCCTTCTTCCCTGTACATTTTCCCCCTATTCCTCCCCTCCCCTTTCCCCACCAAAACCTTCTATGTGATGTACAATTCTCTGGTTCTGTTCGAGTTCTAGTTGTTGGCTTAGATCTTCATCCAGGGGACAAGCCCAACTTAGAGCAGTCAATTCAGTGCCAGCGGGGCAGATTTTACTTCTAGTCGATGAGAACTCTCAATTCTGTCCACCACGAAAGCTACATGTCCCCCTCAGTGATGTCCCTGGTCATCTCTCAGATAAGATCCCTCTGTAACCAAATTAAAGCAGCAGCACCTATCCAAGTTTCCTGTCAATCATTCCTGGGAACCAGTAGGTGGTCAGTCAGCACAACACAACTGTCTTCATGCTGTTAAAGGGGGTAGGAGTTGCAGGGTTAAGGTGGTCACACGGAGTTAAAGTATTATTAGGTGCAAGTATTATTAGGAGCAGGACACTTCCTAAGAAGCCCATGAAGCCCATGGACGGACAGAGACGTGTTGAGTGGGCTGAGAGGTCAGTGAAGAGTCAGCGGAATGAGGAACACAGTTAGACGAGCGCCCCGAACTACCTCTTTTTCCTGTTCATGTTGCGAAGCTATAGCATATCTTACGTCACCTAACACTTGATAGACTGTAGGAGGCGGGCTCAGGGCAGAGTTTGGGGTCCCCAGCCTGCATACTCATAACGACTCCTCAGTTCTCACTCCCATTGGGTACCCAAACTTGAAAGCAGCCAATCAGCGTCCGTGCAGGCACACTATTCTCACCAGTAACAACTTGTCAGTCTTCCAGACCCAGAAGATATGGGTCATGGGCCCCCGAGCCCTGCTCCTGTTGCTCTCGGGGGCCCTGGCCCTGACCGAGACCAGGGCTGGTGAGTGCGGGGTCGGGAGTGAACGGCCTCTGCGGGGCAGGGGTGTGGGGACTCTGCAGGGGCGCAGGACCCCTGGCCCAGACCCCAGACGCCCTGCGCCCACCTCGGCCCCTGGCCTCCCCTTTCTCCTGCCCGCTGCGCTCAACTACTGCCCCCTATTCCGTCCTCCCGGACCCCTGCCCCTGTCGGCCGGCGCCCAGACCCGCACAGCCTGAGCTACTTGCACACCACCGTGTACGGACCGGGCCCTGGAGAGTACCGGTACACCGTGGCCGGCTACGTGGACCACATGGAGATCCTGCGGTTCCACAGCGACCCCGCGAGTGCCAGGCTGGAGCCCCGGGTGGCGTGGATCAAGCGGCCGTGGGCGGAGCAGGAGGGCGCAGGGTTTTGGGAGGAGCAGACGCGGGAAATCAAGCACAACGAACAGCGGAGCAGAGCGAACCTGAACAAGCTGCGCGCCCACTACAACCAGAGCGCGCACGGTGAGCCCCGCGCGCCGGGTCCGGGCACCACCCCCAACCCCACGGGCGGGCCGGGCTTGCCCCGAGTTCGCGGGTCCGAGCGTCACCCCGAAACTGTGGGACCCGCTGGTGTCCCAACCACGGAACAGCCCGCGAGTATTTTTACTTGGATTCATTTCAGTTTAGGGTTAGCCAGCAGGGCGGTGGGGCGGGCGGGACTGTCCTACCTGCCTGGTTAAGTGGCCTGTTGTGACTTCAGGACGGGGGTCAGGGTCGCCCACTTGGCAGGAAATGACCGGCTGCGTCCTGGGACCAGACGGACGCTTCCTCCGCGGGTTCAGTCAGTTCGCCTACGACGGCGCCGACTTCCTCGCCCTGAACCCGGACCTACGATCCTGGACCGCAGCCTCGGGGGTCAGCCGGAGCGACATTGTGCGGGTCCCTGACGCGGACGTTCGGAGGTTCTTCCTGGAGGACACGTGTGTGCACCGACTCCAGCTGCTCCTGGAGAAGGGGAAGGACGCGCTGCAAAGAGCAGGTACCAGGGCGCGGGCCTCGCCAAGGAGGGGATCTGTGGGCTGGGGCGGTTCCAACAAGGAGAGGAGGGAAATGGGGCAGCGTCAGAATGTCCCTCCTACATGGGAGAGGGAAGAGTCCCCAGATGTCTCTATTCTGTGACTCACCCGTGGGCCCAGCTTCCTCTAAATGACAGTAAGGGACCCAGCCTCTCCAAAAACACCTCACAGTGGCTCCCTCACACCCTGCAGCACCTGGGGAACCAGGACCCTCTCTCTCCCTGGTTCTGGGGCTGAGACCCTTTCTGGAGGCCTGACTCCCACTTTTCTGAGTCATCAGCCTCCACCTGAGTCTGTGTCTCCCCTTAGACACCTGGACACTCCTACCCTAGGTTTTCACCCTGATTCTAGAACTTTCCAGGACATAGGTTATCTCAGGTGCATCTGTCCAGGCTGGTGACTGGGTGTTGCACTCCCTTCCCCCAGCCCCGCTGTCCTGTCCACTCTCAGGGTGGTCACATGAGCACTGCTGGAGTGTCCCATGACCATGCTGAGTTGCTGAATTTTCTCATCCTCCCCTCAGTCCCTCCAAAGACACACATGACCCATCACCCCATCTCTGACCAGGAGGTCACCCTGAAGTGCTGGGCCCTGGGCTTCTACCCTGCTGACATCACCCTGACCTGGCAGCGTGAAGGGGAGGACCTGACCCAGGACATGGAGCTGGTGGAGACCAGGCCTGCGGGAGATGGAACCTTCCAGAAGTGGGCAGCTGTGGTCGTGCCCCCTGGAGAGGAGCAGAGATACACATGCCATGTGCAGCACCAGGGGCTGCCTGAACCCCTGACCCTGAGATGGGGTGAGGAGAGGGCGTGGGCACAGAGCCTCTCTCTCCTCAGGGTGTCCCTGAGCAGGGTCAGGACTCAGGCCTGAGGTTGGTCTCTTACCTTCCCCTCACAGACCTCCCTCCTCAGACCACCATCACCATCATGGGCATCGTGGGCATTGTGGGCATGGCTGCTGCCCTGGGCCTCCTTCGTGCTGTGGCTGCTGGAGCTGTGATGTGGAGGAGGAAGTGCTCAGGTGGGCAAGGGGTGGGGCTGAGTTCCCTGTGCCCCTGGGGGTCAAGTCCAGGTGGAAGTGTGGTGTTCCTCCTTCATGGGCCTTGTGTCCCCACACGGGTGCTTGTCCATCTGGGGCCTATTTCCTAACACTGACTCTTTAGTGAGGCCCGTGGGAACGTGGAGGACACATTTATCACCTGATGGTTCTAGCAATGGGGACTGATTCCCATGTATCACAGGTCAGAAGGAGAGGTCCCTGCTAAGGATGGACGTCCACACAGGCAGTTGGTCCAGTCCTGGAACACGTACTTTCCCTGTGTTTCCTGATCCCACCCTGGGTGTTCAGTCCCAGTTCTGGAAACGTCTCTGTGCTTCAGGAGTGTGGGGCTCCTCTAGGGTCACGGGACCCAGCCTCCCCCCTGACTTCTCACAGAACCTTTTCTTCCCACAGGTATAGACAGGACAATCCACTCTCAGGCTGACTGTAAGTCTGGGTGTTGGGAGGTGACGTCTGGGACCCTTGGGAGAGTGTGGGCTGGAGTCTGTGAGGGGGGCTCCCCCTCACCCTGTAACTCTGCTGTGTGTCTTCCTCAGGCAGTGACAGTGCCCAGGGCTCTGATGTGTCTCTCACAGCTCCTAAGGGTGTGACCCTGAGGGCAGGAAGTGGGGGGCATTATGACGGAGGGGCACAACTGGGTTTTGGGGATTCTCAGGTGGGACATTGTGAGTATGTTATGGGCTGTGGGAGAATGTGACACTTCTGAGACTGACCTGAATTTGTTCACAATAAGTTTCTTCCAGAGTGACAGAGCTGCTTTGTCCAGGACTTGGTGCTGAAATTGTCAGTGTAGCCTCCTCTCTGAGATTATGAATTCCTGACTGCTGTATGTATATTAATTTAATATATATATTCATATATAAATTTAATATATGTAAACATAAGTGATGGACATTAAAATCTCCAAGGTGTATGGTTTCTGGTAGGTGTTATTCAATATACACCTTCACCCCATTTATTAACCCACTTAAGTTACTTTAAATTCATAAACTTACCATCGGGTTTGGAAACAACCCAGGTGGGAGAGACTCTGTGTCACATGACAAGGGGACCTCAGGGCTCCACAGTTATGTTCCCTGTGACCACCTGTGCTCTGCATGCAATTAAGAGTTTCTTCCCACACATCCAAATGTGACCTTTTAGAGCCTCTGCTTGTGGCTGGTTCAGTCCCCAGATTCTCATCTAGTGACGCTTTGCTGCCTAGTAGTCTCCCCAAGCTTCCAGGGCCCCCTCTTGTAGACCTCAGGATTGTCCCTGTGGAGTCAGAGAGCTGACCAATCAGAAGGTGAGAACACCTGCTTAAAGCAGAAACTGTCCCTGCATCCACTGTCCTTAATCCACTGCAGACACTGCTCTCATTCTGTGGAAGCTGAGTTTGAGCACTGGAAGGTCATGGCCAAGGAACCCATGCCCTTAGTGGCTTCCTCTGAGAGTTCCTCCCCAAGAGACAGCCCTCGGGCCACAGGGTCAGTCTGGCTCCTGAGCTGAGAACAGACTCAGGAGACAAGGGACCAGCCAGGCAGGAGGGAAAGGTGTGGGGAAGCTCCCAGGGTTCCAGGCTGCAGGTGCTGGGTATTCTGATGGGGCTGTGAGTGGTGGAAACAGTGGGAAGGAACTGGACACTGAATGCATTTGGAAGATGGATTTCACAGCATTTCCTAGTGATTCAATCTGGGTTGTGGGAATGAGTCCAGGAGAGCACCCCACATTTGTGCTGTGCCAACAGAAAGATGGGGTTATATCAGCAGAGATGGGGAAGATGCTGGCAGGAGTATGTGTAGGGGAGGGATGGGCATTTCAAGGGCTCAGCTGAAGAGAAGGTCAAGGTGAGATGAGCGTTAGAAACACCAGTGAGGAGTCAGGTTGGACAGATGAGTGTGGGGACCTTGAGGAGAAATGTCTGGGCTGGAGTCATAGACTCAGTGGTGATGCTACGGGAATGACATTTAAAATCATGAACATGGATGAGGCCACCAAAGGGAGCCAGGACTGCGGAAGAGGAAAGAACAAGGACTGGACACTGCACCTCCCTTTCCTGACAGTGGGGACATTTATCCTGGTGACTCACCCAGGTTGGTGTAGGCCATGTTTCCCTGTGATACAGTCACCATTTGGTGTTTGTCTTTCACTAATTACTTATGAAGAGATGTTCTGAGATTGTCCTGCTGTGCCCTTCACCACTTCTACACTCACCCTCCTTAGTCTGTCTCATAACGTCCACCCAAGTCAGTGACAATATGGTGGTTGTCCTGTGTCAGCGCTGCACACTTATGAGTAGGGTGTAGTGTACAACAGGGGAAAGTAGGAATTATTATTGTTGTCAGTTGTTGGAGCCCAAGAGGCCTGTGAGGGGTCAAGGATAGGGTCTAGCACTGCGGGTGTGGTGACTGGGCCTGGTATCCGGCCTCGGGGCTATCTTGGGTTGTAACAGTTCTCTGACCCCTTGAGAAATTAGCCGCCTCTCCTTACCCATCAACTGGTATCTTTGGCCTGTGCATCATGTACCCAGAAAGTATGTTAGCTTGGGAACGTCTGGACTCTAAGGGAAGAGATAAACTTTGTAGGTCAAGGAAGTGAGCTACGTGCCAGAAGGCTTCTCCTTTGTTCTCCTTTGTACTCAAGATTGTATATAAGCCAGAAGACTGTGCAATAAACTTGCCTTATGCCAGCAGAGCATTTGGTCCTCTCCTTTATTCAGTCCCTCGCTCAGCCTCACGACCACCCTTGCTGCAGCTGGCTGCGGGCTGCGGCAGTGAGTAGGTATGCTGTCAGATGTCTACCAAGTTTATCAGGAACAGTACTTAATGAGCTATATAAATGTCTAATCATGGGGTTTTACACCTGAAAATAATATGATATTTTATGTCAACTACAATTAAAATTAAAGCAATTCAAGTCATGGACACAGACAACAGTGTGAAAATTTCGAGGGGTGAGGTTGGGGTTTGGAGATGGGAAATTGTATTCAGGAAATATACGCTGGTGGAAAAAATTAATGAAAGATAAACAAAGTTATTTTAATTTAGCCCTGGCTGGTGTGGTTCAATGGATGGAGTGCTGGCTTGCAAACCAAAGGGTCGCTGGTTCGATTCCCAGTCAGGGCACATGCCTGGGTTGGGGGCCAGGTCCCAGGTAGGGGGCATGTGAGAGGCAACCACACACTGATGTTTTTCTCTCTCTCTTTCTCCCTCCCTTCCCCTTTCTTTAAGAATAAATAAAAATATATATAACCTTAAAATGTTTCTTAAATAGTTTTTTAAATTAAGTTAGAAAAAAAAGTCATTACTAGGATATCCAACATTCTGACAGTCATTTTCAGGAGAAATTCCAGTATTTTGGGAACCCCGTAACTGTCTGGCCTGGGCTCCTGCTCCCACCCCAGTGACCAGGGTTTCGTGGCTACTTCGGACCACGTCTTCATCAGCAGGGACAACAGGCCTGTGGAGTTCGGGTGCAGGCAGGTCCCACTGCTGGGCCTGGGCCTGGGTTTCCACAGTCTGTCGAGTCTGTTCGTCCACGGAGCTCAGGCCTCACTGTCCTTCTGTGCCGCTTCCCACCCTGTTCCTGCTTCTGAAACAGCAGTCAGTCCCTCTGCAGGACCCACTTTAGGTAAAGGGTCTTTTCTAATGCATGACCTTCTTCACTGACTGCAAGTTCAGCTTGTCCCAGAACACCAAGGCCAGCCCCTAACCCTCCAAGTCCCCCCTTCTATTTCCTTTAGAGGGCGGGTGGGGGTGGGTCCACCAGGGATGTTGTCGCCATTGGGCAGCCAGGGCCAGGGAGCAGCTGGGGTGCACTGAATGGACCCAGACATTTGACTTTCCATCCACTGTTCAATGGGCCGTGGTAACCCCCAAATGACCTAGAGGTTGGCTAGTCCATAGGGCCTCCCACGAGTGTCCAGGACGCAATGAGCTGGGGTATCTACAGACAGACCTGCCTGGGGGTATAGAGGATGGTGCCTCTGCCAACAGGAATGACAACAGTTTTTAAAATGGGGACCCGATGACATTCCTCCTGTTTCACAGACATGCAGCCATAAGACTGTGGCTGCTGAGCCTCTTTTCTCCCTCCATAGCTGTCAGTTAAAAACTTCCACTGATTTAATAGAACATTCTTGGGTCTGGATAATGTGTCAGTTCAATGGCACCTCCCTAGCTTCAGTGTCAGCAAAGTGACTTCCTTTCCCTTCCACGGTGGCAGCGTTAGAATGCCCTGGAATTCTGATAATGGCCCATTCTTTGGGGTCCTTTGTGTCATCTAATAATCCTGCAACCACTTTTGCATTTGTTTGTGGGCTGCCCTAAGGAAGTGCGGAGGCCTGTCCACGTACCCATCATCCCACAGTCAGAGCAGCACCAGGCGCACGGGACTCTCCAGGTGAACATTGACTACTGGATCTTTGTCCAGGTGACAAGCCCGAGTTAGAACAGTGAGTTCAGCTTGGTGGACAGATTTCACTTCCAGTCGATGAGAGATTCCAGTTACGGAAGCTTCCACCATGGAAGGTACTGCATATTCCACTCACTAACGACCCTGGTCATCTCTCAGATAAGATCCCTCTGTAACCAAATTAAAGCAGCAGTATCATAGGAGTTTCCTGTAAATGACTCCTAGGAACCAGCACAACACAACTGTCCTCATGGTGTAAAGGGGGTAACAGTTGCAGGATTAAGATGGTCACACTGAATTAAAGTGATATCGGGGTACAGAGAGCATGACACTTCCTAAGCCAAATGGACGGACAGAGATGTGTTGAATGGGATGAGGGGACAGTAAAGAGTCAACGGAATGAGGAAAAAAATAGTTAAAGGAACGCCCTTAACGTCTCTGTTCTGTTTTGGAAACCTGGCTACAGGAGCTCACTCACAGAAAGCAGGAGTTCTCCATGTTTACCAAACACTCAGGACAGAGCCAGGCCAGGACCCTCCCTGATGTACCTCACTCCCATTGGACGTGCGGTGCAAACAAGCCCAACCGCTTCTCTGTGAGTCCGGTGACCCCCGACTCCTCCACCCAGACGGCTTGGTTGATCTCGGTCATGGGGCCCCGAGCCCTGCTCCTCCTGCTGTCCGGGACCCTGACCCTGACCCTGACCCAGAACTGGACGGGTGAGTGCGGGGTAGGGAGGGAAAGGCCTCTGCAGAGCAGGAGCCAGGGGGCCGGCGGAGGCGCAGACCCGGGGACTGTGCTCCAGCAGCACCGCCGGCCCAGACCCCAGACCTCCCCCACTCCTGCTTTAGCCACGCCCCCCATTTCCCCGCTAAGTCCTCTCCAGCACCCGCCACCTTTCAGTGTCCCAGGCGCCCAGCTCCCACCGGCCCCACAGCAAACCCAGGACCATGCATCCCCCCCCCGCCCCCAGGCCCCCACACCCTGGGATATTGCAGCACCGCCATGTACGTACCCCTCGGCGAGAAGAACCGCTACACCGTCGTCATCTACGTGGACGACAGGGAGATCCTGCGGTTCCACAGTGACGCCGCCAGGGCCAGGCTGGAGCCGCGGGTGCCCTGGATGGAGGCGCCGTGGGTGCAGCAGGAGGGCGCAGGGTTTTGGGAGGAACAGACACGGGAAATAAGGCACAAGGAACAGATGAGCAGAGTGACCCTGAACAAGCTGCACGTCTACTACAACCAGAGCGAGGACGGTAAGCCACGCGCGCCCGGGGCTCGGGGATGAATCCATCCCCACAGAGGAGCCAGAGTCGCCCGGAGTCGCAGGGTCCTAGCATTCCCCTGATGCTGCTGCGAGGTGGGCCCGGGCGGGGCCAAGTGGGTGGTGCTGACCTTGGGCGGGGTCAGGGTCTCACACCCTCCAGGAAATGACCGGCTGCGACGTGGGGTCGGACGGGCGCTTCCTCCACGGGTTCAGTCAGTTCGCCTACGACGGCACCGAATTCCTCTCCCTGGACAAGGACCTGCGCTCCTGGACCACCACGGCCACGGCGCCCCAGATCACCTGGCGCGAGTTGGTGCTGCTCCCTGACGCGGACGTCAGGAGATTCTTCCTGCAGGACACCTGCGTGCGCCGCCTCCACCGCCTCCTGGAGAAGGGGAAGGACACGCTGCTCCGAGCAGGTTCGGGGCGCGGCCTCCCCGAGGAGGGGATCCGTCGGCAGGGGAAATTTTCCTACAAGGAGAGGAGGAAAATAGAACAGTATCAGAATCCTCCTCCTGCTCTCAAGAGGGAAGAGCCCCCCAGGTTTCCTTATTTTAGAATCGTATAAATGTAACTACTTCTTAACTGTTAAGGGGTTGAAATTACATTTAGCCCTTTGAAAGCAACTGGGAGGCTGATGTGACCCTCACGAAAATGAGTTTTACACCCTGCAGCACCTGGTACACCAGGAACTCCCCCTGGTTCTGGGGCTGAGACTCTCTCTGGAAGCTGGACTCCAGCTTTTGTGACTCATTCTGCCTCCACCTGTCTGTCTCATTCTCAACTTAGAGACCTGGACACTCCAACTCTAGGTTCTCTCCCTGATTCCGGAACTTTCCAGGAAATAAGGCCCTGTCCAGGCTGCTGTCTGGGTGGTGCCATGCTGGAGTGTCCCATGACCATGCAGAGTCCATGAATTTTCCCACCCTCCCTTCAGACCCTCCAAAGACACATGTGACCCACCACCCCATCTCTGACCATGAGGTCACCCTGAAGTGCTGGGCCCTGGGCTTCTACCCTTCGGACATCACCCTGACCTGGCAGCGTGAAGGGGAGGACCTGACCCAGGACATGGAGCTGGTGGACACCAGGCCTGCGGGGGATGGGACCTTCCAGAAGTGGGCAGCTGTGGCCGTGCCCCCTGGAGAGGAGCAGAGATACACATGCCATGTGCAGCACCAGGGGCTGCCTGAGCCCCTGACCCTGAGATGGGGTGAGGAGGGTGCATGGACACAGAGCCTCTCTCTCTTCAGGGTGTCCCTGAGCAGGGTCAGGACTCAGGCCTCAGGTTGACCTCTCACCTTCCCCTTGCAGACCCCCCTCCTCAGACCACCATGACCATAGTGGGCATTACTGCTGCCCTGGGTCTCATTGGAGCTGTGGCTGCTGGAGCTGTGATGTGGAGGAGGAAGTGCTCAGGTGGGCAAGGGGTGGGACTGAGTTCCCTGTCCCCCTGAGGGTCAAGCCCAGGTGGAAGTGTGCTCTGCCTGGTTAATGGTCATGGTGTCCCCACACAGGTGCTTGTCCATCTGGGGCCTGTTTCCTAACACTGACTCTTTAGTGAGGCCCATGGGAAAGTGAGGGACACATTTATCACCTGATGATTCTAATCATGGGGATTGATTCACAGACATCCCAGTTCAATGGGGGTTGTCTTTTTTGAAGACAGACATCTAGACAAGTAATTGGTCCAGTCCTGGCATATTCCCCATATTTTCTGCTCCTACCCTGGGTGTTCAGTCACAGTTCTGGAACCTTCCCTGTGCTTCAGGAGTGTGGGGCTCCTTTAGGGTCACAGGACCCAGCCTCCCCCCTGACTTCTCACAGAACATTTTCTTCCCACAGGCAGAGGCAGGAGGAGCTACTCTCAGGCTGCCTGTAAGTCTGGGTGTTGGGGAGGTGACGTCTGGGGCCCTTGGGAGAGTGTGGGCTGGAGTCTGTGAGGGGGGCTCCCCCTCACCCTGTAACTCTGCTGTGTGTCTTCCCCAGGCAGTGACAGTGCCCAGGACTCTGAAGTGTCTCTCACAGATTCTAGTGGTGAGACCCTGAGGGCAGGAAGTGATGGGGGGAGGTTGGGACCTAGGGGTATAGCCGTGTTTTGGGGATTCTCAGCTGGGACATTCTGAGCATGAGGTGGGCTGTGGGAGAATGTGACACTTCTGAGACTGACTTGAGTTTGTTCATGACAACTTTCTCTCCAGAGTGACAGAGCTGCTTTCTATGGGACTTGATCTAAAACAGTCATTGCAGCCACCCCTTCAGACTTTAAGGATCCCTGACTGCTATATCTGCAACCGGCATTGGAACCTGTCTGCATTCTTATCAGCACAGTGAGGAGCTGGTGCCCAGGCCACCCTCCCCACAGGGACCTGTGTCCTCTCTCCTGGGGACTGTCATGTCCTAGCAGAGCTGGGGGAGCTTGTCCCCATCACGGTGCTCACTTCCATTCCTTTGAGTTTTAGTGTCCCGTTTCCCTGTTGGAAATCAGAATCTGGGTATGAATTGTTTTTTTAGATCCTTCCCATAAAGGGTCAATGAGTTAAAGGAAGAAGAATCTACAATGGGAGAGAAGACATCAGTGACTGAGAACCTAGGAACCTTCCAGAATCTGGGTGCTGAGTCTGTTGCAGGTGGGGTGGGGGCGGCTGTGAGGAGGAGGATGCAGCCCAGTCAGGCTCCGTGCGTTGCGGCCTCCGACGGGGTCATTCCTCGGTTGGGTCATCTTTGTTGCTCCTTCGCCTTGGGCGCTTCGGGGAGAACCTTGTCCGACCAGGACCTGTGATCCCAGGGACAAGAGTGCCACCTTGTGGTGGCTCCAGGACTGCGCTCAGTGAGGGCTTCCTGTGGCCGCGTCAGCCTGGGCTCCAGCTGGGTCTGGCCCTCAGCCGCTGTCTTTGGGATATTTGTTCTTTCTTTGTTTTTGTAGATATTGTACCCATCCTTTTGTTTACATTAAATTGTTGCGGTATTAATTAAGTTATTATGGCTGTTTTTAATTGTTCAATTACTGGTGTCTCACATTTTCCCTCGTTGCTGTCTTCTGCCCTGCCCACTCCCCTAAATTATTACTGTGGGTTTTTTTTTAATTTATTGTGATTGGAGCATCATCCCAATATTCCGAGATTGCAGGTTTGACCCCTTGTCAGGGGCCATACAAAGTCAACCACTGACTTTGTGAATAAGCAGGGAGACCAATCTGTGACTCTCTCTGAAAGCCACAAATTGCTTCTTGAAAAAGAAAGTGCAGCCCCACACAAGTTGGTGGTGGGAGGTGGAGCCCTGGCAGGTGCTCAGACCGAGAAGGTGAGGCTTTGGTGAGCAGGCTGAGAGTCTTGCAGAAGCGGCTGCAGCCAGGGCCCTGGCCCTTCCCCCACCAGAGCTCTCGCTCCCACCCCGCCCCTGGGCGCGTCCTTCTGTCCACCGCCCTTTCCCACCCCCATATCCCTCCGCATAAGATGAACCCAGTCCGCAGGACCCGGTCCTCCCCGCAGGAGGTAGGAATGACAGCCCGGCAGCTTGCTCACCTGTGTTGAGTTACATACACTGTGTGCTTAGGCCTCGGTCCTTCCCTGCTGTGCAACCATGAAAATCAATTCATTGGTTGATTCAATGTGAATGGGGACAATACCTGTCCAGAAAATGATGGAGACGTTATCCCCTCAATGAAGACAATCCTAGGCAGTGGAGATGTGCTTCCTCCATTATTTTAGGTCTATATTTTTTCAGCTCTCTCTCATATGCTGGCATGTTACACATAAAATAAAAGTACTTCCAATGAGGTACTACTTTCAACATGTGAAGATTTTTTAAAATTCTCACTTGAGGATATGTTTAGTGATTTTGGAGAGAGAGAGGGGAAGAAAGGGAGAGAGAGGGAGGAAGGGAGGGAAGGAGGGAGGAAGGTTCATTAATTGCCTGTCATCTGAGCCTGGATGGAGGACCATGACCACAACTGAGGCAGGTGCCCTGACTGAGTCTCGGACCCACAACCTTTTGGTGTAGGGAGGACGCTCCAGTGAACTGAGCCACCCAGCCAGGGTCGAACTTCTGTTTTGTTTGACATGGTCAACCTTTCCTGAAGTTTGTTTTTGTTTTTTTTTAAATTTTATTTGGTTTTATTGATTATACCATTACAGTTGTTTTGTTCCCTCCCTTCATTTCCCTGCACCCCCCACCCCACCATTACCCGCCCTTTAGTTTATGACCATGTGTCTCAAGTTCTTTAGAGTCTATATTTCCCATACTATTTTTGCCCCCTATCTATTTTCTATCTACTGTCTATGCTACTTATTTTCTGTACCTTCTCTCCCCTTCTCCTCCTCCCACTCCCCTGTTGCTAACCCCTTGAGATCTTCATTTCTATGTTTCCACTCCTGATCTAGCTGTCCTCTTAGTTTGCTTTTGTTTTAGATGTGGTCATTAATAACTGCGAGTTTGCTGTCCTTTCACTGTTCATGTTTTTTTTAACTTCTTTTTCTTAGATAAGTCCCTTTAACATTTCATATAATAAGGGCTTGGTGATAATGAACTCCTTGAATTTGATCTTATCTGAGAAGCACTTTATCTGTCCTTCCATTCTAAATGAAAGTTTTGCTGGGTAGAGCAATCTTGGTTGTAGGTCTTTGGATTTCATGACTTGGAATACCTCTTTCCAGCCCCTTCTTGCCTGTAAGGTCTCTTTGGAGAAATCCACTGACAGACTGATGGGAACTCCTTTGTAGGTGACTGTCCCCTTATCTCTTGCTGCTTCTAGAATTCTCTCCTTCATTTTAATCTTTGCTAATGTAATTATGATGTGCCTTGATGTGCTTCTTGGGTCCAACTTCTTTGGGACTCTCTGAGCTTCCTAGATTTCCTGGAAGTCTATTTCTTTTGCCAGATTGGGGAAACTCTCCTTTATTATTTGTTCAAATAAGTTTTCCACTGGTGGCTGTTTCTTTCCCCCTTCTGGTACCCCTATAATTCGGATATCGGAGCATTTAAAGATGTCCTGGAGGTTCCTAAGTCTCTCCTCATTTTTTTGAATTCTTGTTTTTCCATTCTTTTCTGTTTGGTCATTTTTTTCTTCCTTCTGGTTCACTCTCTTGATTTGAGTCCCAGTTTCCTTTTCATCACTATTAGTTTCCTGTGCAATTCCCTTCATTTCAATTAGTTTAGTCTTCATATGTTCCTCTAATTTGTGACCAGAATCAACCAGTTCTGTGAGCATCCTGATCTCCAGTGTTTTGAACTGTGCATCTGAAAGTTTTGCTATTTCTTCGTCACTTAGAGTTATGGGGTCTGGGGCTTTGAGATCTTCTTGAGCCATTTTTGGTCTGTTCGCCCCAATTAGGTGTGAGGAGCAGAGCCTTAGATGTTCACCAGGGTGGGGGGCTGCCCAGGTCGCTGGGTTGTGTCTCGGTATGTGGGGAGGACAGCGGTCCTCTCTGCCACTTCCCGCCACTGGGGCCTGCTCAGACCATCTCACTGCTCACTCCTTAGCTGGTCTATCTGTGCAGGAATGTGTGACCACAGTCAACCTTCCACCCTGAGCACTGGCTGGGCCTGCCTGTGGCTCACTGGGTCGCTCCCTGGGTCTGCCCTTTGCAACCCCACGCCTGGAAACCACGTGCCTGAGTCCATTTGACCGAGTTTTCCTGCGCAACCCTGATCCGCCACCTGCTGGCTTCGCCCCTCTTACCGGTCAGGCTGAAGAATTCACTGTTATCAGACTTCCAAAAAGTTCAATTTTCTGTGTTTTGGCTGTGTTTTCTGCTGCTAATATTTTGTTGTCTCTAAACTTGGTTGTGTGAGAAAGCACGGCGTCTCCACCTATGCCTCCATCTTGGCGGAAGTTGAAGTTTGTTGATTGAATGGATGAAGCACTATTAAAATGCCTCAAAGCTGCCATTTATTGATTTGCTAGTAGAATTTTTAGTTCAGTTAATAAAATATAGAAGTGGGGACTTCGTTTTCTCTTGGTGCTTTATTTTTTCCTTTTGTGGCAATCTGCTATTTTTAATACTTTATGTAAGTTATTGGTGTTAAATTATATCTATTGCAGGGGGTGTTGTAGCCATTTAAAATGCATTTCCAAGTTAGCACAGTGTCGTTAAAACTACTGTTGACCATTTCAAAGAATATGAAAGAATTCTACCTTAGTGTAATATTGTATACCTCCTCAGATGCTTTGAGAAACTGACTTCATGTATTTTTATTCTGTTATTCCCCACAAGAAATATAATTTCTGCTGTCATGAGCTAGTTAGCTCTTCCAGAAAATAAGAAATGGAATAGAAGTGTAGATTACCCATGTATCGCCAGGATGGCCAATTCTGTAAATTAGTGTATTTCATGTAAATGTGTTATTTGTATATACTATGAAGAGCTTTCCTTAGCTTTCTTTGAGTGCAGGTTCTCTCTAGGTGATGTGTTTCCATGTTTATTCACATAAAAATGATCTTTATTTCACCTACAGTTTCTCTCATAAAATTGTACAAACTACTTTCATTTTCAAAAGCCAGGAAATTGTGGCCAACAACAACAAAAAATCTATTTAGCACCAAGGAACCGCAAGTTAAAAATTAAACAATGCAGTGCCCGGAAATGATTTTTACTTTTAAAATTCTTGGTTTGAAATCATTTCAAATATACGTAAATTCCCCCTGACCCAAGTACTACAACTGGTGACGCTTTGCTGTATTTGATTTGTCCACAGTTGGTCTGAAAATAGTCCTCGTTATGGGTATGTTCTGCTTCACCTGAGAGCGCCCTGTGTGCGCATCTGACACACCCCGTGGTGTGGTTTCCCACACACACCGTTACACGACATCCGCACTGCCCTTCGACTGAGAAAACCAGCGTCCGTGTGACTCGACCGCTCTGTCTACACGTTGGTTCGGATTTTCCCATTGGTTCAAAACACCTCCTTTTCTTTGCTTGTTGAGTGCTCCCACCAGGGATACATGTCGCGTTTAGTTTTGGTGGCTCTGTCTTCCTCTTTATGGGCCACCTGGAGGAAGTGAAGAGGCCTCCGCACGTCCCCATCATCCCACAGTCACACAGTCCCAGCTGCACCAGGCGCACACGACTCTGGGTGAACATTGGCGACTGAATCTTTGTCCAGGGGACAATTCCGAGTTAGAGCAGTGAGTTCAGCGTGCTGGGCAGACTTCACCTCCAGTCAATGAGCATTCTCAGTTATGTCCACCACGGAAGTTACTGCATGTCCCCCTCAGTGATGTCCCTGGTCATCTCTCAGATAAGATCCCTCTGTAACCAAATTAAAGCAGCGGCATCATAGGAGTTTCCTGTCAATCATTCCTGGGAACCAGTAGGTGGTCAGTCAGCACCACACAACTGTCCTCATGCTGTAAAGAGGGTGACAGTCGCAGGGTTAAGGTGGTCACACGGAGTTAAAATGACAGTGGGCACAGAGATCAGGGCACTTCCTAAGAAGCCAAACAACTGTCAGAGTCATGCTGAGTGCGATGAGGGGACAATAAAGAGTCAGCGCAGTGAGAAGCATAAACAGAGAGAGGAGAACCCACAAGTACTTCCTCTGTTTATTCAGCCAGGCTGCAGCCAGCGGGCCGCAAACGGTGGGGGGCGGGGTGTGAACAAATGGTATAAAGTCTCACCCAAGGAACTCACCTCCCCAGACGTTCAAATTTGGGTCATGGGGCCCCGAGCTCTGCTCCTGCTGCTCTCCGGGGCCCTGGCCCTGACCGAGATCTGGGCTGGTGAGTGCGGGGTCGGGAGGGAACGGCCTCTGCGGGGCAAGAACCAGGGGACCCAACGTGGGTGCAAGACCCTGAACGGCGGGTGCCCAGAACCCAGATCACCGACTCCCGCCTGGACTCACACCTGCCCCTCCCCCCCCATTTTCCGTCCGCTGTCCCCCTGCAGGCCCCACCGCAGACCCCGGACGCGCGTCCTCCCCGCCCCCGGGCACCCACAGCCTGAGAATTCTCACCACCACCGTGTACAGCCCGGGCCGCGAGGAGAACCGCTACATGGGCGTTGGGTACGTGGACGACAGGGAGATGGCGCGGTACGACAGCCACGCCCGGGGTCCGAGGCTGAGGCTGGCAGCAGCGGGGCTGGAGGAGGTGTGGATGGAGTGGCGGCGGGACGAGGAGGCGCACCGACAGTTTGGGGGCGACTACATGCTCAAAATCCAGCACTACGAGCAGATGAGCAGAGCGAACCTGAACAACCTGCGCGCCCACTACAACCACAGCGAGCACGGTGAGCCCCGTGCGCGCTCGCTCCCGGGTCTGGGCACCACCCCCATCCCCAGGGACTGGCGGGGTCGCCCCGATGCCGGGTCCAGCGCCCCTGCGAGGCCGCTGGACCCGCCCGCCCCCACTGAGGAGGACCCCTCCAGGACTTTGATGCGGTTTCACTTTCACCTTAGGTTCAATCACCGCTGGAGGGCACTGACGGGTTGGGTCTCAGACACACCTGTTCTAGGGGCGGGGCTTAGTGACGGCGCGCCAACCTGGGGGCGGGGTCAGGGTCGCACACCTTCCAGGAACTGAATGGCTGCGTCTTGGGGTCCGACGGGCGCTTCCTCCGCGGGTACAACCACTTCGCCTACGACGGCTCCGACTACGTCTACCTGAACGAGGACCTGCGCTCCTGGACCGCGGCCGAGGGCATCAGCTGGAGCGACCTTGTGCAGGTCCCTGATGTGGAACGAAGGAGGGCCTACCTGGAGGAAAAGTGCGTGCGCTGGCTCCGCCTGATCATGGAGAAGGGGAGGGAGACGCTGCTCCGAGCAGGTACCAGGACGCTGGCCTCCCCGAGGAGGGGATCTCTGGGCTGGGGCGGCTTTCCACCAGGAGAGGAGGGAAATGGGGCAGTGCCAGACTGTCCCTCATGCTCGGGAGAGGGGAGAGGCCCGCTGGATTCATTATTTTGTGACTCCCCCAAGGGTGCAGGTTTCTTTTAAGATCTGTAAGGGACCCAGCCTCTCCCTTAAACACCCACAGCGGGTCCCTCACACCCTGCAGCACCTGGGGCACCAGGATGCTCTCCCTGGTTCTGGAACTGAGACCCTCTCTGGAGGCTTGTTCCCCCACCCCCGCTCCCGCTGTCCTGTCCACTCTCAGGGTGGTCACATAAGCACTGCTGTAGTGTCCCATGACCATGCAAAGTTACTGAAATTTCTCACCCTCCCCTCAGTTCCTCCAAAGACACACGTGACCCACCAACCCATCTCTGACCAGGAGGTCACCCTGAAGTGCTGGGCCCTGGGCTTCTACCCTGCTGACATCACCCTGACCTGGCAGCGTGAAGGGGAGGACCTGACCCACGATATGGAGCTTGTGGAGACGAGGCCTGCCGGGGACGGGACCTTCCAGAAGTGGGCAGCTGTGGCCGTGCCCCCTGGAGAGGAGCAGAGATACACGTGCCATGTGCAGCACCAGGGGCTGCCTGAGCCCCTGACCCTGAGATGGGGTGAGGAGGGGGTGTGGGCACAGAGCCTCTCTCTCCTCAGGGTGTCCCTGAGCAGGGTCAGGACTCAGGCTGAGGTTGGTCTCTCACCTTCCCCTCACAGAACCCCCTCCTCAGACCACCATGACCATCTTGGGCATCGCTGCTGCCCTGGGTCTCCTTGGAGCTGTGGCTGCTGGAGCTGTGATGTGGAAGAGGAAGTGCTCAGGTGGGCAAGGAGTGGGGCTGAGTTCCCTGTCCCCTGGGGGTCAAGCCCAGGTGGAAGTGTGCTCTGCCTGGTTAATGGGCATCGTGTCCCCACACAGGTGCTTGTCCATCTGGGGCCTATTTCCTAACACTGACTCTAGTGAGGCCCGTGGGAAAGTGAGGGACACATTTATCACCTGATGGTTCTAGTGGTGGGGACTGATTCCCAGCTGTCACAGGTCAGAGGAAAAGGTCCCTGCTGAGGAGAGTCCACAGGGCTCTAGGTCCAGTCCCAGCACATGTACTTTCTCTGAATTTCCTGATCCTACCCTGGGTGTTCAGTCACAGTTCTGGAACCTTCCCTGTGCTTCAAGAGTGTGAGGCTCCTTTAGGGTCACAGGGCCCAGCCTGCCCCCTGACTTCTCACAGAACATTTTCTTCCCACAGGCAAAGGCAAGAAGAGCTACTGTCAGGCTGCCTGTAAGTCTGGGTGTTGGGGAGGTGACGTCTGGGACAATTGGGAGAGTGTGGGCTGGAGTCTGTGAGGGGGGCTCCCTCAACCCGTAACTCTGCTGTTGTGTCTTCTGCAGGCAGCGACAGTGCCCAGGGCTCTGATTTGTCTCTCACAGATTCTAGTGGTGAGACCCTGAGCGCAGGAAGTGGGGGGTCATTGAGACTGAGGGGCACAGCTGTAATTTGAGGATTCTCAGGTGGGACATTCTGAGCATGTGGTGCCTGTGGGGGGATGTGACACTTCTGAGACTGACCTGAATTTGTTTATGACAACCTTGTTTCCCACTGTGACAGTGCTGTCTTGTATGAAACCTGGTACTAAAACAGTCACTTTAGCCTCCCCTTGGGACTTGAGGGATCCCTGACTGCTGTTCCTGCAACCGCCATTGGAATATGTCTGTGTTCTTATCAGCAGCAGTGTCGAGCTGGTCACCAGGTCACCCTCCCCACAGGGACTTGTGTCCTCTCCCCTGGGGACGTTCATGTCCCAGCAGAGTTGGGGTGAGGCATCCCCATCCTGGTCATTCCTAGTGTGGGGCATCTTTGTTGCTCCTTTGCCTTGGCCACTTCAAGAGAACCTTGTCCCATCAGGAGCTGGGATCCCAGGGACAAGAGTGCCACCTTGTGGTGGCTCCAGGACTGTGCTCAGTGAGGGCCTCATGAGGCGGAGTCAGCCTGGGCTGCAGCTGGGTCTGTCCTGCAGCCCCTGTGTTTTGGGTATTTGTCGTTTCTTTTTATTTTTTCCTTTCTTTTGTATATATCGCACCTGTCCTTGTTTTGTAAAAGTTAAATGATTGTGGTGTTTTTAAGTAAATGATTATGGAGTGTGGGCGCCACTAGCCCCCTTGGCAAAGCCAGGGGGCCGGGGTCAGCTGGCAAGGCCGCTGCCCGTGGCACAGTTCCTCTCCACCTTGCTTGGCTCCCTGCCTGGAACCTGCTGTGGCTAGACAATAGGTCTCCCAAGAAAGCTAGACAGCCTGTTTCCCTGTAGAAGGGTAGGTCATGCACCAGTGCTTGATAAACAGGGATGTTTTGATAGCACCCTGTGTTCCCCTGTTGTTCTGTGGAGTAGCTTTGCAGAAAGGACAAAGAAACTGGCTTGGGTGCAGCCCCCTCCTCCTTATTCCCCATAATTGTAATAAAAGCCTTGAATAAACAGCGGGATGCTGAGACCTCTCCAACCTGACTCCCTGCGTCCTTAACTCATTTCCGCCCCCTCCCCTCTCCTGACGAGGCTGGTCCGCGGCAATGGAGTGTGTGTGTTTTTAATTAAATGTGTTGTGGTTGGAGCATCACCCCAATATGCCAAGGTTGCAGGGTTGATCCCAGGTCAGGGGCCCTGCAAAAACCCACCAATGAACAAAGGAAAGGGTGGGACCACCCATCAGATTTTCTCTCTCTCCCTCCCTCCCCTTATCTCCCTCCATCTCTTTTTAAAATCAATCAGTGAATTGATTTTTGAAGAAAAAAATTGTAGCCCCACTCAAGACAGTGGTAGGAGGTGGGGCCCGGGCAGGTGCTCAGACCGGGAGGGTGGGGCTTTCTTTGGTGCGCAGGCTGAGAAATGGCTGCAGAGAGAGCCCTGGCCCTTCCCCCATGTCCCTCCGCTCAGCTGTTGGGACCGTCTCCTCCTTCCCAGGGGTGAGAGCGCCAGCCCGTGCTCACCTGTGCGGAGGTACACAGTGTGCGCCCCGGCGTCCCAGTGCGTCCCTGCTGTCCCCAGGGCACGGGGGTCACGTCGAGTCACAGCGCCGCTAAGTCCCAGGGGAGACACGGAGGCTGGTGGAGCACAAGGGCCCAGACACAGGGGACGGGGCCTCTGACACTGTTGTAGGACAGCAGGGCTGTGCCCAGGGTCCTCCGTGTCCCTTGTCTCCAGGAACCGCCGGCACCCACGTGTCTGAGTCGAGGGGAGTGGCCTGTCCAGAGGCACCACGCTGAGGGCGGGGCGGGGCGGGGCGGGGCGGGGCTGGCAGGCGGCCAGGCCCCACCTGCGGGAGGGTTCTGACTCCCTGTCTGGCGCTGTCCCCAAGTGTGACCGCGCTGGGCTGGTGGCCACTGTCCCGTCAGGGCAGGGCGGGTGTTGGTGAAGCCCCTCACTGGCGAGGTCGGGCTCCAGGAGCTGTGATCGGAGCCCGCGGGGCTGTGGAAGGGGGTGCGCAGGTCTGTGGGGTCAATGGGGCCAGAAGCAAAGGCCTCACACGGAGCCGCGCAGGTAAGCGCCCCGCACAGGAGAGATGGAGTGACTGACGTGTGCGGTTGGAGTCTCGGACAGGGCAGCTGAGTGCGGGGTGTCGGCGGGGCTGCGGGGAAGGACGGCCGTGGGATCGATCCCGGAGAGGGGACATTTGTGTACAAACGTGTTAAATGCATGTACACAATCAATAAAATGAAGAAGAGTAAATATTTCTACTTTCACTTGCTCCTTTGTCTATTTAATTTTCTTGAATCTTCATCTGAGGATTGTGTTTCTTCCATTGTTTGTAGAGAGAGGAAGGGAGAGAGAGAGAGAGAAACGTCCACGTGAGAGATCAGTTGCCTCCTGCACGCGCCCCAACCAGGACTCGAACCCCCAAACTTGGCCTATCAGGATGATGCTCTAACTAACCTGAGCTACCTGGCCAGGGACATACATTCTCATAGTAGGCAGTGACCGCGAACTCTAAGGGGGTGGGGAGGGTGCAGGGCTCATAGACTCAGTACCTGGTATTGAACTCACACTCATGGACTCAGTACCTGGTATTGAACTCCCACTGTGGGTCAACTGCATTGTTGACCTCAACAGACACGGTCCTGAATCTATGGACCCGATACTCTGGTGGGGAGTCGGAAAGTAAAAGTAAGTAGAATAAACACATAATAATAATGGGGAGCGGGGTACCGGGTTCAGGTGCATGTTCTCCAGGTAAAGCCATTTCCGTGGAGAACAACAGTGTCTTCTTTCTCAGGAGAAGAGCGAGAGTGCGCCCCCTGGTGGTCGTGTAGGAAGGTCGCTGGTGTCCACACAGTCATGGCCTCCTATTGGCTCCAGGACTCTGAGCAGCTGCGTCCATGTCTTTTCAGGACAGTGTCCCAGGACCCCAGGGCAGGTGGCTCTGAAAACCATCTTCCTTTGCAGATGGGGGTTGGGGCCGTGGCCTCTGTCATCCTTTCCTTCCGTGGGGTCTCTCACTATTGCTTGGGCAACAGACAGAGGCCGACACATACGGTCCTCATTCACATGGCCAGTCTTGTGGTTCCTCTGTCCCCTGGATTCCCCACACGAGGCAGCTTTGGTTTTGAGGAGCCCCCGTCCAGCCTTGGTTGTAACTGTGTCTGACATGTACAGACAGTGGCTTGTGGCACCACCCTGTGTCCGTCCACCTGAGTCCTGAGCACCTATCAGTTCCTCTCACTCAACCCCAGGGGAGTGGGGAGGGCGATGCTCAGAGGAGGAGCCCCAAGCCCCTCGGTCCCTCCTGTTGCATCTGCTGGGTGTTGGTTTCTCAATGAATATCTGCACCTGTGAACAGCACTGCTCCACAGAACAGGGAAAACGATGCCAACAGCAGAGGGAAGTGTTTAATTTCACCCTTGAAATCCAGTGCAGGCGTTGCCATCCTGTGGTCATGCTGTGATGTTACATTCACTATAGACGCCAGAACCATCAGCAGAGGTTGCTTTTGGTGAGGCATCAGCACAGCAGCAAATGCTTGAAGCTTATTTCTTCTGATGATCCCACCCAGGTACCTTTTCTCTCAAATCCCATAAGCAGCAGGTTGCTGGCCCCTTTCACCCTGAAAAAGAGTAGCTAGTGTTCGAGAAGGCTGTTGTCCTGCTGATGCTGAGATGTTTCAGTGCCAAGCAGTTTCTAAAGCCTCTAGTCTCCTGCTTTCGTGCCCTGTTGCCTTGTAAGAGAACTCACTGTGCCTTTGTCCAGCTTCAGTGAATTTCCTTCTAAAATCAGGAACATGTGCATGGCATACCTGTCATGTACCTGTAACTGTTTGTTGGTTGATTTGTTCTGAAGCCATGAGGCTGGATTTATGGAAGCCCCTGCCTGGACCGGATCATCGCCCTGCAGACCTAGCTTAGCCATCTTCAGGGACATCTTCAGGTCATGACCCACACTGTACCATTTTGGTCCCGTTGGCAAAGGAATTCCTGCCAGCACTCAGGTTGCCTTTCTCCAGTCTTCCTCCCTCTCATACGGGGATGCCGATGCTGTCTCGTGGAAGCAGCCTGCTCCTCACATGACGTGACCTCTTGCTGGATCCCTTCCAAGGTGAAACGATGGGTTCCTCTGGCTGTGCCATCAGGCAAGTTAGGGAGGTGAGTGCAGTGATCTGTCAGCAACGGTGAGAGATCAGGAGGCCGACATTCTCGTTTACCACGGCTTCCACAAGAGCTTCTGAGCTTCTAGTTGCTCTGCTCCAGGTCACTGAATGCCGTTTTCAGGATCTGACCACACTCACCTGCAGATCGTTGTGAGAGCTGCTGGAGGGCATGGGCTGAGCCAAATCCTGCCACACAGCGGCCACCATCTTTCTTCCCTACACTCAGGCTTTAATATAAGTTTTGCCACCATGTACTCACGTCCTGTATCATGTTCATTGTCCTCATGGTCTGGCCCAGAGTCTCCATGGTGCTTCACCTGCACGGACACCACCACAGGCTGCAGCACATTCACACCCTGCAGCCGCCACCAATGCCCTCCAGTGACCAGAGCCACCCACACCATCCTGATGCTGGTGGACACCTGTGTCACCTCCTACCTGCTCAATTCCATTTTCACTTTTTACGTCATTGTGTGAGAGGGCCCTCATCTCTGGTGGGTGCAGACCTCCCCTGGGTGGCTTCCTGTTCTCCTGCTCTTCACCCGTCACTGCGGATGCTCAGGGAGCTTAGAGCTCCTGGGGTCATGAACTGTTGGAACTGACTCTTGACAATCTAATCCATACATGTCAGTATTTATAATATTCTGAGTTGCTGTTTACTAATCCTTCATCGAATGCCAATGTTGTACATAAAATCCACAGTGAAGTTTATTTTTAAGTTAAAATATAACTGGCACACAACCTCGTGTAAGTGTAAGGTGCCCAGTGTGTTTATTTGATGCACTTACATCGCTCATGCGCTGCCTAACGGTGGTGATCCACCCTGAGACATGTGTGGTTGTGCAAACAGCACAGAGGCTCTCACACCTGGACAGTCTCCCTCCTGTTCACCCAGACTGCAGGGCTCAGCCTGCTGCTCCTGGGCTGCAAGTCTGCACAGCATGTTGTTGTACAAAATACCATGACATTAAATTAACACAATGAGACAATGGTTCCCTCAAGAGAACTGGTAACCACATGCATGAGCCTGCTGCAGCCCTAACAAAGCATACGGTTCTACTGCAAGCCTAAAAATAACTGTCATCAAAGGCTATGTTAATTGATTTGACTGTGCGTGTGTGTGTGTGTGTGTGTGTGTGTGTGTGTGTGTGTGTGTGAGAGAGAGAGAGAGAGAGAGAGAGAGAGAGAGAGAGAGAGAGAGACTGATCGGTTGCTTCCCATAGGCACCCTGGCCAGGGTTCGAACCCACAACATTCTGGTACCTGTGATGACACTAACCAATTGACCCACCTGCACAAGGCAGGCACAAATTCGTTAGTGGGGTATCTGATTAGAATTTTGATAAGTTTTTATTGAGTTATTGTTCTCGATTATTGAGTTGAGGCTTCTTATGTATATTCTAAAAGAACTGAATTGCAAACATTTTCTCCCAGTCTGAGGTCTGAGCTCTTCTTACATCCATAAGAGCAACACTAAGGCACAGGTAGATTTTCCTGGGAGGAGGAATTAGAAG